GTAAAAAAAAAAAAAAAAAAATGATTAAGAACGAGGATATAATCTTATGGACCATTAGAATATCATCGATCTCTGTGAACAAAAGGATTCTAGAGGAATCAGGAATATTTTCATTCTTGGTATTTCGATCCTTGGAGAACGTGTTTGGAGAATGCACTTACATTGAAATTTCTCTCTAGATTCTTTAAGCCTCTTACATTGCTTCATAGGTCTTTTTGAGAAATTAAAATACCTGAGAAATATTTTTAATATTATTGATATTTAATTTCGATTGCTTAAATATATTTTCAAAGAAGTTTACAAGAAGTTTTATAAAAAATTATAAAGAAAATTCTAATATGAGTTTGGAAAAAAGTTTCATGATATATGATAATAATTGCGATTTTAAAATATAATAAAATAATTTTTTCAAGCTTTGATAAATACCTTTCCAATTGCATTGCAACAACTTTGAATTGCATTACAATTGCATACGAAGAAGTATGTAGAAACAAATTTATCCCATTCGAAGCTTTTATGAAGAATAAACGATTGATCGTTGAAATTAATAGAGATGAATCCGATGAAAAGAAGTTGGAGTTAAAAGTCGGCTAGAAAGATGAATAAAGCAGTGAAAGTAATTCGATTAATCATGGTTGATAGTTATGAATGATGATGAAACGTATCCAATTGCGTGGACAGTGGTATGGTGCTCTTAGAACGAAGAAAATCCGACGGTCCAATTAGAAGGCCCCACTATTCTGAGGGGGGGTCTTCTGATAGAACGAATCACATCGATTAAACGATCAAGGCCAAGAGCTTAATTTCCGTGAGAATAAACAAACCTAATTTCTTCTTGTGGATTTAACTTCTTCTATTGAGGGTCAATTTTCAGCATGTAATTGATTGCATTGTGTGCAATTGGATTATTTACTTTTTATTTCTTCGTATTTTTCTTATTGTTTTTAAAATATTTCACTTACTTATTAAATATATAATCACAAAACTGTTCCTAAAATTATTAAATTGTCTTATTTAAAACATTTTTTTAATAAATAAATAACAAAGTAATTTATAAAATTATTGATTGAAATAAAAATTTTTCAACAAATTCATTCTAATATTCAAATTCTCTTCAAAGAAATAATTCATTTAATCATAAAATGAATTATTGAAATACCTATAAGTCTAACAATAAAATTATTTGATCTTAATTTTTAATTTAAAATTTAATTTTCTTTTATAGTTTATGAAACATAAATATAAGATTAAATAAATTTTCAAATAATTATTATTTCTTATTCACTTAATTAATCAATTCACTTTTTTCAATTCACTCAAGGCTTAATAATAGCAATTAAATATCATTAGAAATGATAATTATTTCTAATATTTAAAAAAAAAGAATAATTTACTCACAGATGCAACAGGCTGCAAGTATTCTCGTAGCATCATCTGGTGGAGCACAATCTGGAAACACCGGCTTCAGCACATAAACGCTGAAAGTCAAGGCCACGATGGCTTGACTGCAAGGCCGCACTATCATACACTCAACCCAGAGCCTGATGAACGCGAGGAAAGGTCCGAAAGTTTCCATAATATATGCGTAATCGGCGCCTGACTTCCTGATCATGCATCCAAGTTCCGCGTAACAGTATGCCCCTACCTGTAGTGCAATAAATATTTTAAAATATATTGTATACATATATTACAATGATATTTAAAATTGTAAAGAAGAATATGATAAGAGCTTAACAAAATTACAGGTAAATTCAATTACAATGTGTATATAATACAATAAGTATAAAAAGTATTTGCACATCATTTATTATAATATTTATTATAGTATTTACATATTAATAATTGAGTATATTATATTTTATTTAATTTAATAATGTTTTTATAATTATAAAAGTTTGATATGGAAAGTGAAATTTAGGTGAAAAAAAGCTTGAAGAGAAATAGAAAGTAAAGATATGTACAAATACTTTTTATAACATGTATAAAAAATTATAAGAAGTTTTATCATGTATAAAATGTTTACATATATATGATGACGTATCGAATCATTTTATTTGAATTAATTTTAAAATTATAGGAAGTTTAAATTATAGGAAGTTAAAAGTAGAAAGAGAAAGTGGATGTTTATAAAAAAGGTTCTATTGAGAGAGTGAGTTATTTTATGATGTTATTGAACTGAATCTTCAATGTCTTTCACTTTTTATCATTTTATTTCTAATAACGTTGTACCAGAATAAATATTATAATTTATCATAAATATGTAAAAACCTCATCTCTAAGTCATGATCAATCCATTAACATATCAATCAAATATCTTCTGGAATAAACTAAAATATATAGAACTATGATCTTAGATAAATAATTAAAAGATGATTAAGATAATTCAATATATTATTAATATCAAAATATTATTTATTTTCAAATATTTCATAATTAATCTATAAAATGTGATTTAAATAGTGAAAATATAAAAATATTATAAAAATAAATAAAAGCAAATAGATATATATATTAACAGATTAAAAAATTTCATTTTAAATATATTAAAAATAATTTTAAAGAATTCTTTTCACAATTTCACTTATAGGAAAACCAAAAATAATAAAATAAAATCATCATTCTAAATTATTTTGTCAAAAGTTAAATCCATAATTTCAGAATAATTTAAATTGAAATATATAATATAAATATGAAATATATATATATAATATATAATAAAAATTACTTATTAAAAAAAAATTTAAAAGGCTCAGAAGCTTAAAAAAGCGTTGTTTCCAATATATTTCTATTTTTTTCTCCATATTTTATATTTTCAATTTCCTTTCAAAGAAAATCCAAGATTTAAATTTCAAATATAGTTTAGAGAAGTTCTTAATCTTCTTTTATTTCACCTATAAAGTGAAGAATTCTTGAGAAGCGAGCTATCGATTGGAAAGAGAGGAATGGTAGACGCACCGTGGAGAAAATACCGGAAGCTGTCCACACCAAAAGACTCGCGTTTACGCTTCCTGTATACTTGAGAACACCAGTCGGGCTAACGAATATGCCAGAACCAATAATGGAGCCGACGATCACGGTGATTCCATTCAACAAAGACATTTTTGCCTCGAGCTTGATCTCATCGTTGCCTTTGTCGGTGCTTGGAACCGGGTCGTACGGCCCTTTCTCGCCATCCTTGATACTTCCCGACTTCGACATCCTTCCTGCAACGGAACCAATAAACAAGGGTTAATTTTATTTTTATGGAAATTAATGCACTATAATTCTTTCTTTCTTCATTAAAATTTTTTAATATTTCGAAATGTTCAAGAAATTCGAAGTTTTATCATTTTTTTTTCTTATTCTTACTAATTATTTATTAAAGATCATTTCTAAATCTTTAAAAATTCATACAAGGTTCCAACTTTGTTTATTAGGCAAAAAGTATATAAAACTTTAAATATAGCAATTACAATATAGAAATTAAGAAAATGATAGATAAAAAGATGTTTTTTTAACTAAAAAGAACAAAATTTATTTACAAAATTATATTCTTATTATATTATAATTATAATATAATAATATAAACTTAAATATAAATAAGCAAAAAAATTTCATTATACAAATCATTATGTAAATAATTATAAAAATAAAAATAATTGCAATAAAAAACTTTTAAGTCT